CCGACCCAAACCAAACGCAACAAACCCGAACGCAGCCGAACGCAAAAAGCCCAACCAAACGCAACAAACCCGAATCAAGCGCAACAAATCCGTACCAAGCAGAACGCAACAAGCCCGAACTAAATGCAACAAACTCGAACCAACCACAACAAACCCGAACCTCGAGGAACGCAACAAACCCGTCCTGCTCCTCCGCACCATCATGATCACCACCACCACCCTCACCATCACAATCACCATCACCATCACCATCACTTTCATCATCTTGATAATCATCATCATCATCATCATCATCATCATCATCATCATCATCATCGTCGTCGTCGTCGTCATCATCATCATCATCATCATCATCATCACCACCACCACCACCACCACCACCATCATCATCATCATCAGCAGCAGCAGCAGCATCATCATCATCATCATCATCGTCACCATTGTCATCATCATCAACATCAACATCATCATCAGCATTATCACCGCCCCCTCATGCTCATTCTCCTGATCCCCCTCCTCCTCCTCCCCCTCCTCATCCTCCTCATTCTTATCGTCTCTCCAGGGGGCACCGCTCGCGCTCGACCGGGCACGGAGGCGGCAGCGACAGACTGCCAGCGACCGACGGCAAAGTAAGACGACGACGACGACGACAACGACGACGACGATGGCCGACGACGACGACGACGACGACGACGACTGACGACTGACGATTGACTACGATGAACACTGACGACGACCACTGACGACGACGACGACGACGACGACGACGACGACGACGACGACGACGACGACGACAGGCGCCCTCCATCCTCCATCTTGCCTCTCCACCCTCGTCCTCCCCTTCGCCCCTCATCTATCCGACTCCTGCTCCCGCGGCCCTTCAGCTTCCGACGGCCCTCATCCTCCTCGTCCTCCTGTTTCCCAGCCTCTTCCATCAACGCCCTCGTCGTCACCATCCTGCCCATCCTCTGTCCACATCCCTCTCCCAATCCTCGCCCTCCTCGCCCTCATCTCCACTGGGAGCGGCGCACGCGCGCGAGAGGGCACGAATGTGGCGGAACGGCGGCGATGGCCGACGACGACGACGACGACGACGACGACGACGACGACGACGACGACGACGACGACGACGACGACGACGACGACTGACGACTGATGATTGACTACGATGAACACTGACGACGACCACGGACGACGACGACGACGACGACGACGACGACGACGACGACGACGGCGACGACGACGACGACAGGCGCCCTCCATCCTCGATGTTGCATCTCCTCCCTCGTCCTCCCCCTGGCCCCTCATCTATCCGACTCCTGCTCCAGCGACCCCTCCGCTTCCGACGGCCTCATCCTCCTCACCTTCCTGATTCCCAGCCTCTTTCATTAACGTCCGCTTCATCATCACCATCATCCTCATCATCATCAGCATCATCAGCATCATCATCAGCAGCATCACCATCATCATCATCATCAGCATCATCATTATCAGCATCATCATCCACATCACCCTCAATCCAAATCCTCATCTTCATCCTCGCCCTCCTCACTCTCCTCATCTCCGCCAGGGGCGGCGCGCGCGCGAAAAAGCACGGAGGCGGCGGCGACGGACGGCCAGCGAACGACGGCAAAGTAAGACGGCGATGAACGAGCTCATAAGCCTCTGGAACGCGCTTACAAGTCACTCGAGAACACTGAGAGGCCTCTGGATCGCGCGTAGGCGCTTCTAGAAGACGCTCGGAAACCTCTGGACGGCGCCCAAAAGCCTCAGGAGGGCGCTCGGGAGCCTCTGGAGAGCACCCAGAAGCCTCTGGGGCGCGCGCCCAGAAGCCCCTGCAGCGCGCCCAGAGGCCTCTGGAGCGCACCCAGGAGCCCCTGCAGCGCGCCCAGAAGCCTGTGGAGCGCTCTCCGAAGCCTCTGGAGCGTGCTCAGAAGCCTCAGAAGCCTCCGCAGTTCGCTCAGGCGCTCAGAAGCCCCCAAAGGCACAAGAGCGCTCACGCGCTCACAAGCGCAGAAGCCTCTGCAGAGCGCTGAGAAGCTCAGAATCCCCAGAAGCCTCTGCAGAGCGCTCACGCGCACACAAGCTCAGAAACTTCTCTCTGCAAAGCGCTCAGGCGCTCAGAAGCCTCATAAGCCTCTGCAACGCGCTCAGGCGCTAAGAGGCCTCAGGAGCCTCTGCAGAGCGCTCAGGAACCTCAGAAGCCTCTGCAGAGCGCTGAAGGGTTCAGAGACCTAAGAAGACTCTGCAGAGCGCACGGGCGCTCAGGCACCTCAGAAGCCTCTGCAGTGTTCAAAGCTTCAGAGCGCTGGTTATAAAATGACCGTTCGGGTTGTAAAGAGCACGGTCTGACTTGTGAAGTGGTCGTTCTGGTTGTAAGAGAAACTTCCCCAATTGTAAAGTAGCCGCTCTCATACAAAACACATTTGGGTTGACCCCCCGCTGGTTGTGAAGTGCCCCACCTCGGTTGTAAAGTGCCGTTCTGGTTGCAAAGAGACCGAATCCCGGGGGGGGTAGGGGAGAGGGGGGAGGGTTGGTGTCTGACCCTCCGCCCAAGATGTGTGTTTGAAGGGGGGCTGGTCTCGGAACACCCGTATAATATATATATATATGTGTATATATACACATATATATGTACACATATATATATATGTAGCAATAAATATGCATGGTTCAGGCCAGCGACGGTGGATTGCGCCCCCCTCGACGCATGCGAGCGTCGCCTGGGGCCTTCGGTGGAGCTCCCTGTCCTGTCACGAAACGCTGTGGTGGGTGGCGCGAACGCATGCGAACGTCGCCTCAGGAGCCTTCGGTGGAACTCCCTGTGGGGCCACGGAACGCTGTAGTGGGCGGCGCGAACGCATGCGAACGTCGCCGCTGGCGCCTTCGGTGGAGCTCCCTATGGGGCCACGAAGCGCTGTACTGGGTGGCGCGGACGCATGCGAACGTCGCCTCAGGGGCCTTCGATGGAGCTCCCTGTGGGGCCACGGACGGAACGCTGTAGTGGGTGGCGCGGACGCATGCGAACGTCGCCTCAGGAGCATTCGGTGGAGCCCCCTATGGGGCCACGAAGCGCTGTACTGGGTGGCGCGGACGCATGCGAACGTCGCCTCAGGAGCCTTCGGTGGAGCTCCCTATGGGGCCACGAAGCGCTGTAGTGGGTGGCGCGGGCGCATGCGAAGGTAACCTCTGGGGCCTTCCGTGGAGCTCCCTATGGGGCCACGAAGCGCTGTACTGGGTGGCGCGGACGCATGCGAGAGTCTTCTCTGGGACCGTCGGTAGAGCTCCCCATGGGGTCACGGCACGCGTAAGGGGTGCGCCGAAATGATTGACATTCGGAAGGCAGAAGGAGGGATGAAGAAGGGAGGGGGGGAGGAGGAAAGAGTGAGTGACGCGGGGTGCTGTCTCTTCAATACGAGCATCCTACACCACAGGATGATTCGGAAAAACAATATCGGGAAGAATCACGACCAGAGCTCCAGGTCGCATCCTAACTTCTCGGTACCCTTCAGCCAGATCGATCGGCGAGGGCCCCGTCCAGGGCCCGAAAGCGGGCGAAGCCGCCCAGTGCGACAAAAAAAACTGGCGGCGGACCCAACCATACGCAGTTGTGAGTACCGTAGCTGTGAGTATGGTCCTCGGTGAACTTCCCCATGGGCCACGAAACGCGCGAGTGGCATGCTTGAATGGGGGGAGACGTGCATGCGGACCCTGCCATTGGGGCCGTTGGTGGAGCTCCCTGTGGGGCCGCGAAACGCGTGAGGAGCGTGCCGCAAAGGAGGGAGCAGCATGCGAGCTCTGCCACTGTGGGCTCGGGGTAACGAAACGCATGAGGGGTCTGCCGAAACGGGCGCGACGCCCACATGCAAACGTCGCCACTGGGGCCTCAGGTGGAGCTCCCCATGGGGCCACGAAACGCGTGAGGGAGGTGCCGAAGCGGGCGCGACGCCCACAGTGAGGTGTGTGTGTGTGTGTGCGTGCCGAAACAAAAGCAGGATGGGAGGAGGGAGTAGGGAGGAGGGGGGCAGCGGGAGGGAAGGAAGGAAGGAGAAGCCGGGCGCTCTCTTCAAAACAAGGACCCAATACCACAGGACGGTTGGGAACTATCGCGACGCCAGGATCTCAAGGCTCTCAGACGAGTTCGCCGTTCCTGCAATTAGGTTTCCCTGCCTCGGGATGCGTTTCAGCTGCTGCGCCTCGCCGTGACGAGCCTGGAGGTGTCCTGATCGTCCCGAGCGGCCGCCAGAGGCCCGACCTACGACCCGAAAACCGGTCGGGAAAAACAAGGCTCATGCTGGGAAACGGGCGAACCCAAGACGGTGCGGTGAAAGAACCGAGCGGCGGCCCCCAGCAAGGCGCTCCACCGCACAGCCCGTCGCCGTACGGTGTTGGGCCCTGGAGGCCCCGGCCGCCCGAGGCCTCCTCGGAGAACGGCCCGAGCCCTGGACACGTGCAGCTCAGATCAGTTCAGCTCCGCCTGCGTGGCAGGTCCGGCGAAGCGGCCCCCTGAGGGGCAGGCGGGGCACAGTGAGCAGCGAGCGCGGAGAAGAGGCGCGGGAGGGCGCGGAAGCAACCGGCGGGGGCAGGCTGGCTCGGGCGGCTCTTGGCTCTCCGCGAGCCTCGGCCCCGCCCCGCCCCGAGGTGGGGCGCGGGCCCGAGAGCCCGAGGAGCCGGGGAGAGAGGGAGGAGGCCGCCCCGAGTCCCCACACCGACTCACGACGCTGGTCCCCGCGCCGTGCTTGGGCGGGGGGGCCAAAGGAGGGACCCTCCTCTTCAATCCGCCTCCTTCTCCTCCTCCCTCCTCCTCCCTCCTCCTCCCGCCTCCCTCCTCCTCCTCCTCCTCCTCCTCCTCCTCCTCCTCCTCCCTCCTCCTCCTCCTCCTCCTCCTCCTCCTCCTCCTCCTCCTCCTCCTCCTCCTCCTCCTCCTCCTCCTGCTCCTGCTCCTGCTCCTCCTGCTCCTCCCTTCCTCCCTGGGAGGGGCGCGCAGCTGCCCCGCCCGCCTATGTGGTCCCAGCGCGGGTCAGGGTCGCCGCCGGGCGCCGGGGCAACGGCCGGGGGCGGGGCGCCCAGCGCCAGGGTGGTGCTCAGCTGCCCCGCGTCCAGCACCTCCGCCCGGCAGTTGGGCAGGGTCGTCACGTCGATCGAGTAGGCGGCTCCCTGGGGCGCGCCGCGCTCTCGCGGGGCTCCCTGGGGGCACGGGGCCGAAGTTGCTGTGAACCGGGGGCCAGGGGCACAGTTTGAGCAGGAAGACGTTCCCCGGTGAAATCACAGCGAGCCCCGGGAGGGGCACTTCAATTGAAAAAACATCTACGTTACGCGAATGCGTGAGTCCTGCATAATTCGCCCAGAAGTCTCAGGCGAAAGCGCGATTCCTGAGTAAATTATGAAGTAGTCCCAAGCGAGAGGGCGATTCCTGAATGGCGCGGGCGTGGCGCCTCAATGAATTGCAAGGAAGTCACAGGCGAGAGCGCGATTCTTTGATAAATTGCAAGTGAGAGCGCGATTTCTCAGTAAATTGGAAGAAAGTATCAGGCGGGGACCTTGTTGTAGTCCGGGGGCCAGGAGCGCAGTGCAGTTTGAGAAGGAAGAGCTCCCTGATAAAAACTGGGTGCGAGCCCTGGGAGGGGCACCTCAATTGGAAAAAAAACATATGTTACCAGAGGGGGGGGGGTCAACAATAATAACTAGAGCCACGCGCGCGCTTCGCGCGCTCTAGCAAGCCCCAGGCCGTGACAAGTTCACAGATCCTCCGAAATAGTTACCCACACATTGCATGAATATGGGGCACACCGAATCGTCAAAAAAACACGGGCCGAACAGAGATCGATCACACACACAAATTTCACATCCATACGAGACAATGCGAGCCAATGCCAAGCAGTGAAAATAATGTTTAGAATGGAGTGCCCGCACTGGCACTGCAATGCAACGCAATGCCATGGAAACCAGATGCGAGCGCGATGCAGCGAGAAGCAAAGCAAGAGAAAGGCAAGGCAATGCGATGCAATGCAATACAACTAAATACAAAGCAGAACAATGCTTGCCAGCGCAATGCCGTTTGCGGAACCATGCCTGCGCACATCCATCGGAAAACAACAAAGTGAAAGACAATGCCATACAATGCGGAACCAACGCAAGAGGCCGTACGAACCCGAGGGTTCCAGAACCTCAGGGATCCCAGAGACAAGGTGTGCAAAATAAGCCTGGCGAAGGACCCAACCAGATGCAGTTGTGAGTGCCGCAGTTGTGAGGATCGTCGTCGGTGGAACTCCCTATGGCGCCACAAAACGTGTGAGAGGCGTGCCGATTTGGGGAGGTGGGCGGGTGCATGTGAACCCTCCCACTGGGACCTTCGGTAGGGCTCCCTACGAGGCCACCAAATGTGTGAGGGGTGTGCCGAAACGGGCGTGGCGCCCACATGCGAACTGCGCCAATGGGACCTTCGGTGGAGCTACCTACGGGGCAACGAAACGTGTGAGGGGTGTGCCCAAACTGTCGTGACGCCCACATTCGAACTGCACCGAAGTGAGGGGTGCGCCGAAACGGGCGTGACGCCCACATGCGAACTGCGCCACTGAGACCTTCGGTGGAAATCCCTATGGGGCCGCAAAACGTGTGAGGTGTGTGCCGACACGGGCGTGACGCCCACATGCGAACTGCACCACTTGGACCTCAGGTGGAGCTCCCTACGGGGCCACGAAACGTATGAGGGGTGTGCCGAAACGGGCGCGACGCCCACATGCGAACTGCAGCAATGGGACCTTTGGTGGAGCTACCTATTGGGCCACGAAACGTGTGAGTGGTGTGCCGAAACGAGCGCGACGCCCACATGCGGACTGCACCGCGGAGACCTTCGGTGGAACTCCCTATGGGGCCACGAAGCGCGTGAGGGCTGTGCCGGAACGGGCGCGACGCCCACCTGCGAACTGCACCACTGGGACCTTCGGTGGAGCTCCCTATGAGGCCACGAATCGTATGAGGGGTGTGCCGAAGCGGGCGCGACGCCCACATGCGAACTGCAACCACTGGGACCTTCGGTGGAGCTCCCTGCGGGGCCACGAAACGTGCGAGTGGTGTGCCGAAAAGGGCGCGACGCCCACATGCGAACTGCACCACTGAGACCTTCGGTGGAGCTCCTCATGGCATAGAAACGTGTGAGTGGTGTGCTGGAACAGAGACGATGCAGGGATGGCAGGAGGGAGGAGGGGGAGGATGAGGAGGAGGAAGGAAGGAACGCAGGACGCTGTCTCTTCAAGACGCAGACCCAACACCACAGGATGGTTGGGAACAAATGGTGGATGCCCCGATTCCGCCGTTGGTACGTTGGTAAACATCCATGTGACGCTAGCGCACCAGCTCGTCCTTCTCCTCGCCCCCCCTCCTCCTCCTCCTCCTCCTCCTCCTCCTCCTCCTCCTCCTCCTCCTCCTCCTCCTCCCTCCTCCTCTTCCTCGTCCTCCTCCTCTCCTCCTCCTCCTCCTCCTCCCCCTCCTCCCTCCTCCTCCTCTCCTCCTCCTCCTCCTCCTCCTCCTCCTCCTCCTCCTCCTCTCCTCCTCCACCTCCTCTTGCTTTTCCTCCTCCTCCTCCTCGTTCTCCTCCTCCTCCTCCTCCTCCTCCTTCTCCTCCTCCTCCGCCTCCTCCCTCTCGCAGTCTATCCTCTGGCCGGTTGGCTGGTCCCGGCCGGCGACCGTGTAGATTGCCACACAGACTTCTCACGGGGAAAAAACAAAAACGCATCTCCCCCCCCAAGGCTGCCTGACAATACCTGTCACAAGTAGCCCCCAGCCCGCTGGCCACGCGGCCGAGACAAGCCATATGTTTTCTAAGTTGGCCACGAGAAGACGGGTGAAAAGCAGCGCAGTGGGACTGTGATAGATACGGAAAGCTGCAAATTCGCCCGTGCTTTTCACTGCAAGCACCCAGGAAGGCTCCAGGAAGGCGGGCAGGGCAGCCACGAGGAGGACACAGGGCAGCCTAATGGGGGGATGCCCGAGAAGCATTAAAAGAGCTTGGCAAAACCATGCTGAGAGTCTCTTTGGGTGCCTTTTTGGGGGCGCTCTTCGAAATATACTTGAGAAGTTGTTTAGTATCTTGGAAGGCATCTCGGAGGTCTCTTGTCATACTTGGAGCCTCGATGGGGGCCTCTTGATGCTTCTGGGGGGGGGGCCATCGGGCGCTCCTGGGGTCTCTTGGAAGCCTGTTGGGGCCCTGCTAACGGTCTCGGGGGCCGTCTTCGGGGGGACGAGCTCGCTCTGTGAGTTCAGATTCCGCCTCTTGCGCCCCTCTTGCGGCTCTCTTGAAAACGCTCTTGGTCCGTATTGAGGAGCGTTCTCGGCCGTCTTGAAAGCCTGTCGGGGACCTCTTGGGTCGTCGTGAGAGGTTTTAGGAGGCGCTTGGGCTGTCTTAGAAAATTGGAATCGCGAAGGTGCAAGAACTCCCCCCCCAGGCACAGCCATCATCAGAGGACACATATGTCATGGTTTGCATGGCGGGCATTCGGTAAAAAGTCGTCCACTGCCACGTGGGCAGATATTCGGTGCACGAAGGGACGCAGGAGCCTGGCAGTACCTGCAGTCGAATCTACAGTCCGATGGGTCACCATTTTTGCAAACAACACACTGGCGAAAGGAAGGCCCAGGGCACTCGATGAGGCAAGAGGCACTGCACGAGAGCTCCTGGTCACGATCATGGACCAATACATCCTGGCGCTCGTTAGGTAATGCACGAAGAATCTTCACAACATTGCCGTTGAGCTCAGGAGCCGATTGGAGAAAGTCAAGATGCGCCAACTCTCCCTCGAAACCCGAAGGCTCACAATCGAGCTCGACACAAAGAGAAGCTATAGTGTGCTCTACAGGGTCGTATGGCTGCAATCTTTGCGTATAGCTGCAAAAACGGTCGCCACGTAGAAGCACCTCCTGGCCACTAAAATTAAGCACTGGCAAGGGCGACGCGGCTGCATCAGAAGAGCTCGAGGACGTGGACGTAGGCGAAGCGGGAGCGAATCGATCAGCCCTCTGCGGGGCTCGAAGGACACGCCGAACCGGCACAGAGCAAGGAGATTCATGACGAACCGGCATCTCATACACAGCATTCGCAGTAGTGGTCGAGCTGATGGCGCTTGCCAACTCAGACGTCATCGCAGACAGAGCCTCTAGAAGACTGTCCTTGCCAACGAAATTCGTAATTTCAACTGTATCATTAGCCTCGATGTTCTTGTCAGTAATTGCTTGTCGCATTTCGCTTTGAAACTGTCAGAAGACGGATCAGGGAGAGCACGAAGATCAGGACATAGACGAGCATCACATACAAGCTCTGCGCATTGCGGGCGAACAGGGGGCACCGATTTTGCAATAGTAGGCAGCGGACACTTGAAAATCAATTCATCACCGTTTTCCGACAGCAAACTCGAAGGAACCGACTTATCCAAACAAAAACGACGACGCTTACTCTTCGGTGGCGTGGTACTCACAACCTGTTGCCAAACTCCAGATGGTGCAGGCTCCTCCACCGTCGGTGCCGAGCAGAATTCCCCTGGTGCGTAATCTCTTCCATCCTCGAAAGGGCATTGGACGAGAACTCACCACACTCGCGAGCATCCCGAACAGCAAGACCAAGACAATGCCGATGAGGGCGGCCGAATTCCTGCTCCAATGATTGCTGAAGAGCGGCAGCGGAACCAAGCTGATGAAGACGATGCTCCAACTCCTGGTTGCCTGGCGGCGAGAGAACTCCAATATCCACTTCATGCTTCAGAGAAAGCAGGGAACGAGCAGAAGCAGCATACGATGCCGACGTAGAAGTCGAAATTCTCAACTTCTTACCCAAAATTCGTAGGGCACCCAATGCAGAATTCACAGAATTACTAACAGCAGCAAAGTGCACATCACGCATACGCGGTAGCATGCTCGAAGGGGCGCAAACACGTAGCAACTCAAGGCAGGCCTGATCCCAAATGGCTACGGACGACAGTGCAAGAACTTGACAATCGTTGAAAAAACTAGTGGGCATCAAAATGTGTTGCCTCTTGGCGCCTCCGGCCCATGCCGCCACCGTTCCTGGGTTGGGGGTTAGGCATCTTGGAAGTTCGTTGAGGTATCGCGCAAGGCCTCTCAAGAGCCTTGTGGAAGCAGTTTAGAAGCTTGCGGGTGGGCGTTTTGGAGCCTCTTTGGGCCTCTTTCGGGCCTCCTGGGTGCCTCTTCTGGGCCTCTTGGAACCTCCTGGGGCCCCTTGGGGCGGAAGGCTCGAATTGCCGGCTCGCGTTCCCCAGCTTGGCCACCTTTCGAGGCCGTCCTGGAACCCTCTTGGGCTGTCTTGGGCGCCTCTTGGGCCGTTTGGGGGCCCTCTTGGGCCGTCTTGGAAGCCTCTTTGGGGCCTCTTGGGCCCTCTTGGGGCGAGATAACAAGCTTCTTGGGCAGTCTTGAAATGTCGAAAATCCGAAAACGCGAGAACGCGAAAAACATTGAAAACAAACTGGATATCAATGATTATGGCCTCTTGGGGCCCTCCTGGATGTCCTCTCGGAGCGTTCTAAGGGCCTCTTGGGCGCCTCTTGGCCATCATGGGGCCATCTTGGGCGGTTTGGTGCGCTCTTGGGCCATCCTGGCAGCATCTGGGCGTCCGCTGCGGGCGCCAAGGAGGACCCTCGAGGCGCAGGGAGCGCCCTGAAGCGTTCATTATATTCACTGCGTGGGGCTCCCCATATGTGCATCTATTAGCATGGGCCCGTCCGCCATGAGTGTCTAGGCGCAAGAACTTTCGAATACTCACGGACTTGAGTATTGACGATCTGGGAGTGAATCTAACTGTGAGAGAATTGGATTGTGAATGAGTCTCAGTAGTACGAGCTCGTCTCTACGAATGAGCCTGAGGCGCCGTGGGACCTCCAGGAACCTCCTGGGGCTTCCTGGGGCCTCCTAGAACCTCTTGGGGCCTCCTGGAGCCTCGTGTGGCCTCCCGGGGCCTCCTGGAGCCTGCTGGGGAAGATTCGTGCCCCAGGAGAGGCCCACTCGATAGGAACAGACGTACCTGAAACACTGCGGATTGGAGCCGCAGGAGAAGGGCAATCTACAGGAACTCACGTAAAGCACCCAGGACTCGTGCCCCGGGGGAAGCCAAATCTATAGGAACATATGCAAAACTCTTAGAATTGGATACAAAGGGGAAGGACAATATATAGAAATATACGTACAACACGAAAAGGATTCGTGTTCCAGGGAAGGTCCAATCTGTAGGAGCATACGTACAGCACATGGGATTGGAGTCGCTCCTGTGGCCTTCTGGGGCATCCTGCTCCTGGGGCCTCTTGGGGCCTCCTGGTGCATACGCAAAGCAGTCAGGACTGGATACGCAGGAAGAAAAAAACGTACAACACAAAAAGGATCCGTGCGCCAAGGGAGGCCCAATAGATACGAGCAGACGTACAGCACATGGGATTGGAGCCACTCCTGTGGCCTTCTGGGGCCTCCTGATCCTGGGGCCTCTTGGGGCCTCCAGGTGCCTCCTGGCGCTTCCTGTGGCCGCCTGGGGCCTCCTGTGGCCTCCGGTGGCCTCCTGGAGCATCCTGGAACCACTTGGGGCATCCTGTGGCATCTTGAGTCTTCATGTGGCCTCCTGATGCCTCCTGGGACCTCCTGTTGCCTCCTGGGGCCTTCTGGAGCCTGCTGGAGCCTCCCGTGGCATCCTGGGGAGGATCCGTGCCCACGAGCCTGGCCACCAAAACAGGCAAACCGATCGAGACATCCTCAAAATCTGGCCCCACTTGGGAGCGAAAGTGAAAGCCTACCTCGAGACATCCTCCAAATATGCTCCGAAAATGGAGGCAGGCGAACCGCTCGAGACATCCCCGCAATTGTGGCGCGAACGGAGGAGTGCAATACCCCCTGGCGGTTCCCCCATTGGGGGTGCTGAAATCAGCGCCTCGCTCAAGACATCCTCCAATTCTGCTCCGAAAGCGGAGGATGTTGAGCCAGGAAACAAGCAAAACGCTCTAGACATCCCCGCCATTTTGGCGCGAACGGAGGAGTGCAAGTGCTGAAACCCGCGCCTCGCTCGAGACATCCTCAGAATTTGCTCCGCCACCACCATCATCATCATCATCATCATCATCATCATCATCATCAGCAGCAGCAGCAGCATCATCATCATCAAAGTAATAATCATCATCAGAATCAACATCATCATCGTTATCAGCATCGTCATCATCATCATCATCATCAGCAGCATCATCACCACCACCACAATCATCATCATCATCATCATCATCATCATCATCATCATCAGCATCATCAGAATCAGCATCATCACGACCATAAACCACATCATCATACCATAACATTACGTAGCATAACATACCGTACCATACCATACCATACAATATCATAAACATACCATATCACATCATACCATACCATACCCACCATCACCATCAGAACGCAGCACATCATAAAATACCATAATAGTGTATCACGTCACAGACCATATCATAACATGATATAGCGTAGTATCCCAAAACGTAACTTAGCATGATATATAACATAGCAGAGCATAGCATGAGAAGGAAGAGGAGGAGGAAGGAGGAGGTGGAGGTGAGTTCTCGGTGCGATCGGCAATAGCAAAATAACATCCTTTGGATATATGAACTAACAAGAACCCCATCTTAGGATACGGGAGAAAACAAAACACTGGCGCCGGGGACTGAAGTGGGTTGCGGAGGGAAAAGGGGAATCTTGAAAAAGTGGGGGCCCCAGGGCCCGGGGAACCGGTCGCCAGTTCTATGATTTTGAAGAAGTGGAGGCCCCAGGGCCAGGGATCCAGTCGCCAGTTGTATCATGTATTCTTCGGTAATGAGAGGTCAACAGCAAGAACAACAGCAACAACAGCAACAGCAACAAACAAACAAACAAACAAACAAACAAACGAACAAACAAACAGGCAGAGAGACAGACAGACAGACAGACAAACAAACACACAAACAAACAAACAAACAACAATAACAGCAAAACACAAAACACACAGGATAAACGTCCTGCAGCGCCGAACCTCGACACTCGAACTTCGATTCTCAATCTGCGACGCCTCGATCGTCGATCTTCGTCGTCGTCTTGCTTCTCGTCGTCGTGGTTGTCGTCGTCGTCGTCGGTGTTGCCCTTGGCATCGTCGTCCTCCTTTTGCTCCTCGACGCGCTCGTCGTCCTTGTCGACCTCGTCGCCCTCGTCGCCCTCGTCGTCCTCGTCGTCGTCGTCGTCGTCGTCATCGTCGTCGTCGTCGTCGTCGTCGTCGTAGCCCGGGGAGGGCGGCCGCCGCGGCGCCCCCCGATGCCCCCCGCGCGCCTCACTCTGCAGGGCCTCCGCCAGCAGCTGCGAGACCTCCCGCCTCGTCACCCCATCGAACTTGCTCTCGATGGCGCCCACGTCGGTGCTCCACTTGGCCTCCCCTGCCAAGGCTTAGGTCGGACGTGTCCCCCTACAGGCCGACTTCGGACGAAAAATCTAAAATACCCAAAACATGTTCAAAAATACTCAGGAATACAAAATCGTCCCCTGACTATCTTTTACTATTTTTCAATATTCCTCCTGTAGAGGGACAGGCCCGACTCGAGCCAAGGCCCCCCCTCAAGACCAAACCGGGGCCAGGCCAAAATCGAACAGGGCTCCATCGGGGATCTCTGAGAGCCGGCGGCTCCGGAGAATGTATCGGGCGCCGCGGCCTTCCCAGAGCGTTCCAGCACGCTCTGAGAGCGTTCTGGAACGCCCTGGACGGATCTAGCCCTAGGTCGGGCATGTCCCCCTACAGGCGGATTTTGGAACAAAAATGAAAAATACTCGAAGAATGCTCAAAAATGATCCAAACAAAAATTCAAAAGATCGTCCCCTGAATACTCGTTACTATTTTCGAATATTCCCCCTGTAGAGCGACGGGCCCGACTTAAATCTAGCCGCGTCCCAGCCCCGCCCGATGGCCTCCCCTGCCAAGGCCCCCCCTCTTCGCCTCCCCCAAAGCGCAGGCGCAGCACTCGCTGTCGCACTGGGCGTGTGTCTTTGCGCCGGGCCTCGGGCCCTGGGGGCCCGCACCGATTGCGCCGGCTGGACACGGGCCGCAGAAAGACTGGGTCGGGGGCTCCAGTCGTGAGTCTTCGCGAGGCTGCACTTGTTGTTTTTTAGCTTCACCCCCCCCACCGCAGCGCGGCGCAGCCAAGCTCAGTTAAATGAGTCCACCGGTCCCGTATGCGTCGGCTCACACAGGATAGTGCTACCGAACGACGCTGCGTCAGGCAAGCTGGACGGCCCACTGGCGGTGCTCAACAGTTGTATGCCTGAGGTGATCCAACACCGCCTCAGTTCGAGCTCAAGATTCGGGCCGGGCGAAAGGGGGGGATAGCAAAGGGGGGGTTTGAGAATCAGCTCTCGTAGCTGATTTTCCCGGCGCCGGGAGACGCCCATGTATCGAGGAATGTGCCCGGCGGCGGGGCAGAAACCAGCTGCACGCAGCAAATTTCGTACCCCCCCTTTCCCAATCCCCCCGTCTCGTTCGACCCGAGAGATTTCGCGAGGTTGCAACTCGTCGCGACGTCGGATCTCAGTGTCGCTCCCTTCTCCCATCGTCCCCTCTCCCCGTCCCCCCCCTCCCTCTCCTCGCGAGTGGCCGACCCCCGCCCCGCGCCCTCTGCCCCCCCCCCCTCCCTTCCCTCCTCCCCTTCCTTCCCTCCTCCTTCCCTCCTCCCCTTCTTCCTCCCCTCTTCCCTCCTCCCTTCCCTCCCTCCTTCCCTTCTTCCCTCCTCCCCTTCTTCCCTCCTCCCGTCCCTCCTCCCTTCCCTCCTCCCTTCCCTCCTCACTTCCCTCCTCCCTTCCCTCTGGCCGAGCCCCTCGGGCAACCGAAAAACACCTCCTCGGCCGAGGGCTGGCTACACGCAAGCCTGACCCTGGGTAAGAGTGGTCTTTGGTGCGCGGGTTTTCGGGGGCCGCGGGGGGGCCAACACGCAAGCGCGCAAGACGCCACTGCCGCCTCGCGCTCGGCATCCGGGGGACCTCAGTGGGCCCGCGGCAAAGGTCGCTCCGGCGAAGGGTCACTCTTACAGCCGTCCCGTATCATATCATACGGATGCGCGATAAGGATGCAAGGGCTTGGAGGGCCATTTCGAAGCTTCTCGAGCGGGGCGCGGCCAGCGAAAGTGGCCAAGGATGGGCCGAAGGGGCAAGGACGCAAGGGTGCCCTTGGGAAGGTTGCCCATCCTTGTCATGCGGGCTGACTGCAAGTGTAGTCGATCGGGGGGGAAGTCGGCCTGGACCCACCGTGTCCGCCAGACCTCTGGTGGCGATAATGGAAGCAAAAAATTGAAAAATGCCCCCCCTGGGGGCCCCAAAAAATTGAGTCGGGCAGACCAATAAAAATTCAGCCGCCAGGACTGCTTGTTTAATCATCTGCCCCCCCCCCAGCAATTTTTCTGCCGTCACCGTCGTCACCGTCGTCGTCGTCGTCGTCGTCGTCGTCGTCGTCGTCGTCGTCGTCGTCGTCGTCGTCGTCGTCGTCGTCGTCGTCGTCGTCGCCTAGGGCGTACGGCGGCCCTGCGCAGCACCCCCCCTTCCCACCCCCCATGGGGTATCCGCAGTGCGTCGCTGCGTCGCCGTCGTCGGCTACAGCGGACCTACGCAGCACCCCCCCAACGAGGGCATCCGCAGTGCATCGTCGTCGTCGTCGTCCGTCGTCGCCGACGTCGCCGTCGTCGCTGACTGCAGCGGGCCTACGCAGCAACCCCCCCTAGGGCATCTGCAGTGATCGTCGTCGCTGACTACAGCGGACCTACGCAGCACCCCCCTCCCCCCCATAGGGGGTCATCCGCAGTGCGTCGTCGTCGTCGTCGTCATCGTCGTCGCCGTCGTCATCCGTCGTCGTCCGTCGTCGCCGTCCTCGTCCTCATACTCGTCCTCGTCCTCGTCCTCCTCGTCGTCGTCCGTCCTTCTGGCCGGCGGGCGCAATCGCCCTCGCGGACGACTGCGGCGACGAGGAGGACGAGGAGGGGAAGAAGGAGGAGGAGGAGGAGGAGGCAGCGGAGAAGGAGGAGGAAAAGGAGGAGGGGAGGGAGGAGGAGGTCAACACATCTGATGCTCCAACGGTATGGTTCGCAAACTTTTGGCGGCCTCGTGAGCCGCCCTCGGCCCCCCAAACAGCCCAGGATTGTCCGCCCTCCGTGGGCATGCGCCCCCCCTCGCCTATTGTGGGGGCAACCAGGCCGACGAAATTATTTAATCGCTTCGCTCATTCCGCCAGCCCTCGAGCGCTCTATGGGGCCTCTTTGAAGCCTCTTGGGCCTCTTTGGGGCCTCCTAGGGGCCTCCTAGGGGCCTCTTGGGGGCCTCTTGGGGGTCTCTTGGGGCTCCTTGGCGGCGTCTTGGGGCCCCCTTGGGCTTCTTGGGGGGCTCTTGGGGGCCTCTTGGGGCGGGGTAGTCGAGTGCACCCCCTCGGAGGCCACGATCCTCGTGAGGGGTGTCGAAAAAAGGCCCTCAAAACCATCTCTGGGTAGACTTGGTCGGGCTGCGGGCGGGATACTTTTCGCCGGGGGACCCCCAGAGGCCGCCCCGCGCGCGCGAACTAGAAATATTGTTAACCAGTTACCGGAGATCTTAGCTCGCCTCTAGCCCGTTGGGCCGGCGAATTTGTTTATGAGAATGTTATCCTCCTCCTCCTCATCCGTCTCCTCCTCCTCCTCCTCCTCCTCCTCCTCATCATCATCATCATCATCATCATCATCATCATCATCATCATCATCATCATCATCATCATCATCATCATCATCATCATCATCATCATCATCATCATCATCATCATCATCATCATCTCATCATCATCATCATCATCCCCCTTCTCCTCCTCCTCCTCCTCCTCCTCCTCCTCCTCCTCCTCCTCCTCCTCCTCCTCCTCTGCCCCAGGATATTTGTGTGATCGCTTGCTCCCATTGTGGCGGGCCCCACCCTCTCGGGGGAGAGGGGCTGCACACCGACCCTGGCAGCGGCTGCGGCGGGGGGGCCCTGGGTCTCTCTTCCCCTCTGCTCCCCATTCCCTCACCCTCACCCACTCCGTCTCCTCCCCTCCCCTCCCCTCCGCCTCCCACTCCTGCCATTATCCCCCCCCATCCCAATCCGTAGCCACTGTGGCTCAAGGTGCTCAGTTCCGCAGGGGAACAAATGGATACCGCTAGTCCGCGGCTAGACCCAGTGCTACTTGCAGGAGTGCCAGGACAAGGTCGACAAGTGCCTGGTCGAGGAGGCGGAGGCTCAGCGGCGCTGTGAGCAGGAGGCGCGTGCCTTGGCGCAGCGTACCTGTTCTCCAGTGCAGCCGGAGACGAGCTCCAAGTCGGTGGTGCACATTGACACGCTCTTGGGGAATCCTGACTCGCTGGAGCTATGCGTCGGGTCTGCAGTGGACCTCTCGGGCGATGAGTTCACCGACGCCGAGAGGCAGGATTTTGCGAAGTGGGCACCAGAAGGGCGTCGCGGAGCTCCTCCGCTCGGCGTTCGCCACGATCCAGGAGAAGGCTGAGGAGGCTCAGAAGGAGTACGAGGCCCGCACCGAGCAGCTGGCCAATAAGCGCAAGACGGCGAACGGTCCCAAGGCTGGAGGTGGCAGCTCCAAGCCAGAGGCACAGCGTGACGGTGGCGGCACAGGTGGAGATGGAGCTCCGCCGCAGCCTGGCAGCGGCTCGGCTGCTGCTGCGGTTACCATGCCGCCGATGGCGGCCAAGCAGGCTGGCAAGGAAGCCGCTGAGGCTTCTGCTGTGCAGCAGCGAGTTTGACCAGCGTCAGCGCTGTGCTCGCGGTTCGGTGAAGTGGGAGCTCAGGCACAGCGTGGCTGATGCGCACACCTGCTCGAACGCGAACCTGGTGGCGAAGGCCGCTCCTGTGAAGAGAGTTGGACATGAGGAGCATGGTGACGAGTGCTCCCAGTGAAGTTTCAGACCCAGTTCCAGACGGCTCGGCTTCGCTCCTCCCCCTGGCGCATGGCAACATCAAGTGCTGTGGACTCAAGGCCGAGAAGTGCCTGGAGAAGACCGATGCGGATGTGGTGGTTTTCGCGGAGAATCACATGCGCGGCCAGAAGTATCTGGACATGCTCAAGGCTGTTGAGCGCCCGGGCTGAAAACAATCGGGGCCGAGGCGGATGCGACCGAGGTTGGCGATGCATCGGCTGGAGTGCTGGCGCTGGCCAGGAGGATCTTGGTCTGGCAGCCCTCCACCTCGAGGCGAAGAGTGGTTGGAAGTCAAGCAGCTGTTCGCGCTGGTATATCTGCACGATCAGGCTGAAGCACGTCACTCTCACGTTGGTGCCAATTTACTTGGCGTCTGGTCAGGGCGCTGGTGGCCGCAACCTTAAGATACTCAGTCAGCTGGGAGCTCGCCTTAGTCAAGTTTGCGGCCCGCTCCTGATCGTCGGTGACT